CCCAAATTCCTCAGCGTGGTTTTCACAATCCTTCCCAGCCTGGCCTCACGCTGTTGTCTGTCAGTCTCTGTCTGCCTAGAATCTAATTCACTTTCTCGGATACGAATGCTGCCCTTCCCACCTCAGATGCTTTCCTCCTTCTGCCCTCACTGTCAAATTCTTTCCATTCTGCGAATCCCAAATCACGAATGTCTTTTCCTCCCACTGAGCCTGAGGTATGCAATGCCTCTAACCACATCCTTGCCTTTGTGCAGCAATTGTGTGGATGTCGGCAGAGACAGTAGGTTAGGAGCAGTCTATGGAGAGGGGGCTCTGTGTTCATCATCTAGGTACAGTCTAATCACTGATTATAAGGTGTGTGTCTTCTAACCTTAGACCAATGTGAGGATTACAGATTTCCTCTGCATTTTGGACAGAAGTAATCAAAGCCAAGAACTTGAAAATTGCTTTTTAAAATACCTTTATTATTTCTAATTCCAAAAATGATATATCCAGGCATGGTGGCATATGCTTGTAATCTCAGCGCTTGGAAAGCTGAAGCAGGATGATTGTGAATTTGAGGCCTACTCAGACCCTGATATATGAGTGCCTAGGAGTGTTGCTGCTGCTGCTGGTGGTTGTAGAGATGGTGGTGGTGGTGGTGGTGGTGGTGGTGGTGGTGGTGGTGGTGGTGTGTCGCCCAAGCAAGTCTCAAACATTCCTGCCTCAGCCTTCAATAGACTTGTAGTGCATCTGGTTCTGTTTCTTTTTTGCGAACAGCTTTAAGAACATACTTTATTTTTTCCTTTTATCCATAATTGTTCACTGTAAAAGAGCTGACAACAATTCTAGTCACACCCACACTGGAAGCATAATTTTTCCAAATGTTGCCATAAAGTGTTGGTCAACATTCGCTAGATTTGGCTTGAAGGGGAGCTGCTGTGGTTTCCCACCTTGACGTTCAGTTGCATGTCACTCCCGGGCCTTGTTCCCATTAGAGAAAATGCCACTTGTTGATCTCCTGGCTTCTCCCTCTCCCCAGGTCCTGGGCAACCTGATCCGTTCCTGCTCCAACTCCTCTCCTTCTCCTGCCCTGTGGTTTCTCCTCAGCATCCGCCTGTCACTCACCACCAGCCCTCTCCTGGGCCTGGGCCTTCTCCTTAGGCTTTCCTGGTCGCAGGGCCTCTCTACTCCTTGGGCTTTCTCCCCACCCCGGGCTACCTTCACCCCAGGCTCTTTAACAGGTGATTGTTCCACACTGACGGCTGTCAAAGGTTGCATGGCTGCATAAGGACTCTGCATGCTGAAACCATGTAGAACTGGGGCCACACTGAGCTGGGCCAGTGGCAACTCCATAACTCCAGTTTCAATGGCCCCAAGTCCGTTCACTACATAAGCAAGCGCCTCCTACCTGTTCTCGTTTTCTTTCCACACCTAGCCCTCCCTTTGCTCCCTTTCTCAATAAACTTTATGTGGGTTTGTTGAGTTTGGTGGATGTGTTTCATCACCTGAAGCTGCAGTAAAGAACAGCACCGATGACATTCGCTGAGTCTGTCAGCTACAAGCTGGGATGCAGATACACACGTGTCCCATAAGTCATATGATATATTCAGGTTGAAATCACATGAGTAGCATTACTGTTCTGTCCAGAAAGAGGGGACACTTTTAAAGCTCTCACATTTACTGTTGACTTAGTCTGCATGAGTGTCATTTCCTCTTCATCTTATTCATCCCATTGCTACAAATAAAAAAAAAAAAAATCTAAGTTTGAGAAAAAAACACAAGCTTTAAGTGGTGAGAACAATTATACTTGAATATACCCATCTGCCATGCCAAAGCTCCTTAGCACTACTGTGTATGATGCTACCTTTCAAGGTGAGAATTAAATCATCGAAAGCAAAACTAGTATTTTCAGAGAAGGCTTTTGTTGGAAGGACAGAGCATTGCATGTGGGGAAATAGCATTGTCTCAGAAGGTTGTCTGCCATCTGCTTTGCATTCTGAGGCTTCCGGAGTGCATAGGCATTGTGCTGTTACCAAGGCTGTTGAGGGCAGTTCTGATGGATACATTTTGCAAAGCAGTTCTGCTCTGTGGTTGTCAAGAGAACAGTTCTTTAATCTGTGTATTTTTTTTCCTATTCAAATACAGAAGTGTCGACTTGTTTCTGATCTCACCTCTTCTGGACAAAGGTTGTAACTCCTTTGGTAATTACTAGGGCAAGAAAATCCAACCACCAGCTTAGTGGGTGGAGACCAAGTGATGTCAAGGGTACACTTTGCATGTACTACAACTTGAAGGGATTCCAGAAGAGAATGATAAGTGTAGAGGATTTATCCTCTAAATTTAAATGTATCATACTTTCCCAGGTTGTTAGGAGGCTTTCTAATTATAAGAGCCAACGCTAGTGCATTATACTTAAAATATTCTGCACAGTGTTAAGTAAGTATGCCTAATATTTAAAATATATTATCTCCTTAAATCTACAGTAAAATCCTAGAAAGACAAATGTTATCCTTGGTTTTCATTTGAAGATACTTAAACTAAAGAGATGACATAATTTAAAACATTTTCTCAGTTCTGTACCTGCACACAATATATTGTGGTTCTGTTCACCCCCATTACCTTCACTCTATCCCTGGGCTCCCACTGGTCCTCTGCTTTTCCCCAACAGCTCCTCTTTTATATCTTATTGATCGATTTATCAGTTTTTGTTTGGTTGATTATGTCGGGAAGGGACGTGTGCATGCCATAGCGTGCTCGTGGTTGGCAGAGGACAACTTTCTTTCCTTCCACCATGTAGGTCCTGGAGATGGCACTTAGATTGTCAGGCTTGGTGGCAAATGCCACCAAATCATCTCAATAGCGCCATGTCCTTTCTTTTTTTGTGCGGGTCTTGTACAGGCACCCACAGCTGTTGTGTGTTCAGGATTGCAGTAGCCATGTCATACCCAGAGGACAGCGTTTGATGGCATTGCTGTCTGTCCTCTGCTCTTACATCCCTCCTCCTCTCCAGTAGCATTCCCTGGATTTTGGAGGGTGCAATACATCTGTCCAGTTTAGGGCTGAGGACTACACTGTGTAGTCACTTATGCTCAGCATTGTGACAAGCCTTTGCACTGACTGTTGCCCACTGTAAAAAGATGCTTCTCTGACCCAGTGAGACCACTGTTGGTCTGTGGCAGTTTGTCTTCTTGTCCATTAAGCAAAACATCAGGAATGCATTCCATCTAGAACCATAGGCTTTTGCCTAAGTGTATAATACCAGACATGAATTAATCCAATTAGAAAGCGATTGGTTAAACCCCACCCCCACCTCCAAACAGTCTTGCCCTGTTGCACAAGTGGACATATCTTGCCTGGCGGGTTGGTATTGTACCATAGCTTGGTAAGACAGTTGTTGACATTTCTCACCCAGTGGCCTACATAGCCCCTTCCAGAACTGTGACTACAGCTAACAGGGAGGAAGCTTCCAGCTCAGTTCTAGCTTGATTTCTGTTTCCTGCATCCAAAGTGTACGGTTATCTTCAACAATAGGGTCTTATCATCTAATTCTATTGGGAAACAAAGAACAGTGGCAATAGCCTGTATTGTTTTGGGTGCTTCTCAGAACTCCCTAACCATTATTTCTAGGGAGGTACCCCATACCTGGTACTGGGATCTTCCTTTAAAATCCTATGATTTCTTGGGGCTGGAGAGTTAAGTGCAATTGCTGCTCTTGTGGAGGTACTGGGTTTGATTCACAGCACCCACACTGCAGTTTACAAACATCTGTAACTCTAGTTCCAGGGGATCTGATGCCTTGTCCTAGCTTCCACAGTATCAGGCAAGCACATGTGCACAGACATACAGGTAGGCAAAACACCCACTCATGCATATAAAATAAACATTAAAAACATTTAAATTACCCTACATTTAAATTACCCACCCATATAGGGTACCTCCACTCAAACTATTATTGTATTTTCTAGTTTCTAAAATAGTAGGTTCCCTTTTGGTGGTCCTCCTCAACCCCACATTCTTCTCTCCCAGAAAACTCATCACAATTTAAACCTTTCTATCTGTAGTAACCCTCTCTTTTACTTCCGAGTTACATTTGTTTTACTGTCCACCCACAAAGATTCCCCCCACCACCACCACATCACTCTCATGGCCCCTTTCTTGCCTCCTGGCTACTATAGGTACTCACTCCAACTTAAACACAGAAACCTCCAAATTCCAAGGGAGGACCTACTCATGAGAGGGAACAGAGTTTCTTCTTTCAAGGCCTGAATTACCACACTCCATTTCATGATTTTGTCCCTAAGATACCACCAATTTAAAACATTTTGTATCTGTTTGTCTACTTTGCAGTGCTGGGTTGCATCCCAGAGCCTTGCCGGTGCTAGACAAGCTCTCTACTGCTGAACTGCTGAACCATATCCCAGTCCCAGATAGAACTTGTTCAAAGTAACAAACTTGCAATGGCACCAAAGCCTGCCTTGCTCGCTAGCTCTTTCTCTCATCCTATGCAGTGTCCCTAGCTCTCTCCAGAGTAACAGTTGTCAGTGCTCCCTAGTGTAGGAGAGAAGGTAGGGGAAGAGGGAAAGAGAGAGGGAGGAAGGGAGAGACAGAGAACAAAAAGCCATGTGGACGGAGGCAGAACCTAGTTTGGGCTTGATTAGTGAGATGTTGATTGCATCTCTCCTAGGATGTTATTCTAAAAAGGGGAAGATTTCACTCCGAATGTGACTTTGGAACAGACTGGGTTCAGAATAAGGTCAGCTGATATTTGTACAGTAGGGTCAGTGATAAAATGATGGAACTGAAAAGGGACCTAAGAGATCATCTGTTCTGACCTCCTTTTACAGGAAACTGCACCCCAAAGACACTGACTCATTTGACCGAGGTCACACAAGCTTTGGAAAGCCACAGAGGCGTGTGGCCTGCAGCTTTGGGCTCTCTCCCTTTGCTCATCCTGCTGCCTCCCAGAGTGCTGGGAATCCTGTCCTATGTTGAATAGTCTCCCTTTCTCTATCCCATAGGTGTTTCAGAGTCTGTAGACAAGATGGAATCCACTCCATTTAATAGACGACAATGGACTTCCCTGTCATTGAGAGTAACAGCCAAAGAACTTTCTCTTGTCAACAAGAATAAGTCATCGGCAATTGTGGAAATATTCTCCAAGTAAGTGCTGATCTTGGTCCAAAAGGACCATCTGTCTTGATAATTAGTGAAGCAATGTAAAATGGCTGCATTGAGCACCCCATGGGTGTTAGGCACTGTAGAGAAAAAGAATGTTATCAATCAGAGGACCATTCCTCTGTCTTTGGATGTTTATTTAATCAAGGACAAAAAAAAATGTTACAAAAAGAGACTTATAAAATACTAAAGTGTAGCCAGGTGTTGGTGGTGCATGTCTTTAATCCCAGCACTCAGGAGGCAGAGGCAGGTGGAGACCAGCCTGGTCTACAAGTGCTAGTTCCAGGCTAGCCTCCAAAGCCACAAAGAAACTCTGTCTGGAAAAACAAACAAACAAAAAACCAAAAAAAAAAAAAAAAAAAAACCGAAATGTAAAGCAAACTGTTACTAAATCCAAAGGAATGGACAGAGGATCAGATGAGGGACAAGAGGAGAGAGTCTGTCATGGGCAGGGACCATCAAGGAAGGCAAAGGGCTTTTGTTTTGCTTGTTCCTTGGTTTGCTTGTTTATTTTGAGATGGGGTCTCCTGCAGCCAGGCTGGCCTTGCACCTGTTCCTTAGCTGAGAAGGACGGTGAACCCCCAAACCTCCAGCCTCTGCTTTGCAAATGCTGTCATTATAGGCATGTGCCACCAAGTCCAGTTCTGTTTTTTAGGGTTATTTTCTCCCCATTCTGTAGCCTGGAACACACTAACATATCCCAGACTGGGTTTGCACTCATGAGCAAAACCCTTGCCTTCACCTCCTGAATACTGGATTTCTTGGTGTGAGCCAGCCATCGTGTCCTGTAGGGGGAAAATTGTATCTTAATTTTTCATTGCAAAGGGTCAAACCTGGAGCCCTACACATGCTAGGTATGTGCTCCATCCCTGAGCTACATTCCCTACCTATAAGAGTTCAAATGACATTTAAAATTCAGCTCATCAGTTATGTTTTCAAGTGTCTGATAGGCGGTAGGGTTTAGCAAATGAGGGTTTATTGAAACACAGACATCTATTTTCAGGTTGTCTTTGCTTTCACACTGAGCCAGCAGAGATATTGGCTATAACTGAGACTGTTACCTCAAAAGTCTAAAACATCTGGCCCTTTAAGAAAATGAGAAAACTTTGCCAGCCAGGCTGTCTATAGTAGGTGCTGCCGCACACAGTAGGTGCTGCTGCACACAGTAGGTGCTGCTGTACACTGTAAGTGATGCACACACTGAAGGGATGTTCCACATATATTAGCACATCAGAGATAGCAAACAGATGCATTGATGATGGAGCAAAGCCATGGACAGGTGATAGGCTTGCTGCAACTAGTACTTTATTACCAGGAAACTATTGTACTTATGAGAAGAAGGAGAGTAAAGACATGAAGACAGTGATTCTAGGAGCTGTGTCTAGGATATAGTTAAACATCAACAGGAAGTTTCTGTGACTCACAGTGTCACCTTTCCTTTGATAACAAATCCCAGCTGGGCAGTGGTTGCGCACAACTTTGCTCCCAGCACTTGGGAGGGAGAGACAGGCGGATCTCTGTGAGTTCAGTGAGTTAGAGGCCAGCCTGCTCTACAAAGTGAGTTCTAGACAGGCTCCAATGCTACAGAAAAACCCTGTCTTGAAAAAGAAAAAAGAAAAAGAAATAAAAGAAGAAAGGTGTTGCAGGCTGTCACCTGGGTTCTCAGCTGGAGTCATGGTTGGAAGACCTACACACGGCCAGTCCGTGTGACTGTTTGGCTCAGTGGCTGAGTTCTAAACGCAAGCATCCGGAGAGGAGGGGAGAGCAAGAGGAGGGGGACTACAAGGTACTGCTTTGCCTGGTCATGACTTTAGCCTTGGAAGCTGTTCCCAATCGTGCTCGCCATATTTTCAGATGTGAGTCACGAAGGCTGGCTCATATTCCACAGGAAGGAGGTGTGCAGTTTGGCTCCATCTTCTGGTGGGAGGAATGTCAAAGATATTTTGAACTTTTTTTTGTTTGTTTGTTTTTCAAGACATGGTTTCTCTGGCTTTGGACTCTGTCCTGGAACTCTCACTGTAGGCCAGGATGACCTTGAACTCACAGAGATCCATTTGCCTCTGCTTCTGGAGTGGATTAGAGGTGTGCGTGCAGCAATTGCCGCCACCACCACCACCATCAGGTTTGAACCTGTTTTAAACTATCTTCTGTAGGCTTCCCTGGTCTTTCTAAAGATTCACTTTTGTGTGTCTGCAATGGGGCCCAATAACCTTAGAGGGATTTTTTTCTTGGCACAGTCTCTTCCAGCTCTGCCTGACCTTGAACTTGCTACATAGCTGAGGATAAACCTTGAACTCCTGCTTCTACTTCCTGACTCAAGTGACCCCCCTCCCCCCCGTTTTGGAGAAGAGGTTAGCAATCACTGATAGTAGAGGAGGTGGATTTGGGAAATGAGACTTGAATATAGAGCAAAGTGAGTGAGGAGAGGCGTGTGGAGCCTGACCGTGACAAAGGGAACAGGGAGGCAAGCAATCCTTTATGGCAAAAACCAGAGCAGGAAGGGACTGGTGTAATTAGGTTAGGCCAGGCGGTAGGCTTGAGTGCTGTGCTGCGGTTAGGACTTAGTTAGATTAACAGCAAAGTGCAATGAAAAGTTTCCATGCAGGGAGACTGACACGATGAGACTTGTACATCCCAAAGATGCTTCTGGCAGCAGCATGGAAGGTCTATTAGAAAGGTGAGAGATGGGTGACACGGAGACAACTCATAGGGTTGTCATGGGGACCCAAGTGAAAGCTGTAGGGGTGGGGGATATGAGACAGCTTGGAGCTGTGATTAATGGGCCTTGGAAACCCCCTATGCTGCAGAGACACCACCCCGCATTCTTACCCTTCCACCCACCTCTGCCCCACCTAAACAACTCTCGGCTTTCTCATGACTTAAGTTCTGTGACGCCTGCTCTTTCTGCAAGTTTGTCCCTGAAATACCCTGGGACCAGGAGTCACAGTCACTGCTCTCCCATCCTGTGCCATGTCTGCTTCTGAAGTCCTAAGCCTGTGCTTTGAGGCCTGCATCTGCCTCTCCTGCAGTAGCATGCCATACTCCCAGCCAAGCTCCTGCCCTTCAGTGGAGTCCCTAGCTTCCAGAGTCATTTTTCTTTTTGCTACCCCTCACTGAGAGAATGACAGTGCCGGTGATTCCTCTAGCAACGAGTCTTTCTTTGGTCCACATTGTTGACCCAATACTTCATAATTGCCCATCTCCATGCCCCTCCCTCCATCTCCTAGCTCTCGTTATCCAAAACCCTTCTCAGCAAGGATGTGTTTGGAAAGCCTCTCCTGCCACTTTCTGAAGCTGAGTCGTCTGTCCTTTCTGATCGTGGTCTGTATCTGAGACGCCCTCTTCCTGCGTGCAGTGCTTGAGGCCTGCCACGCGGCTCCCTCTGGACAGCAGCAATGGGGTCTTGCTGGCACTCAGCTTATTTCTAGCTCGGAATCTCTCCAAGCTCCCATCTCTTTCTTATCTGCCACTTCTCATGAGGATTTGACACACATTAGAAAGTCAGAAAAGGCCGTTCATCTTGATAGCTTTTTTAAAAAATGTGTTTATTATTTTGTGTGAATGAATGTTTTACCAGAATCTATGTGTCACATGCATGCCTTGTGTCCTTGGAGGCTTCTAATCCTCTGAAACTGGAATTATGGATGGCTGTGAGCTACCATGGAAGTGCTGAGAATCAAACCAGGGTCCTCTCTGCAGGAACAGGAAGTTCTTAACTGCTGCTCCAGCCCCCCCCCCTTTTTTTTTTTTTTTTTTTTTTTTTTTTTTTTTTTTGAAAACAGTTTCCTGTGTAGCCCCTCAGCTGCCCTGGAAATCAGTTATGTAGGTCAGGCTCACAGAGATCCATCTGCCTCTGCCCCCCCCCCCAGTTTCGGTGGTCTCCTCAATTCTGCAGAAAGGCCCTTAGAGGTCACATGACCTTCTCCATAGAATAGTAGGTAAACTATCTTTTCTATATGAAGGTTATAAGAACAAATTGCACAGATAAAAAGTTGTAAATCCCCAACCCATTTAATCATAACCAATTTACCAGGCTTTTATTGTGTGTGTAGGGGGGCAGGGGTACTCTGGGGATTGGACCTAATGTTGGATGCTTGCTAAGCACACACTCTTCCTTGGAGCTGTGTTCCCAGCTGCTAGACTCTTGGTAGAAATGTACAGTATTTCTAATCCTCACAAAAGCTGCATGGGAGGGGCATTATCCCTGTTCTGTAGTTGAGAAAGCCTCCTTGAGTTAATATTTGAGTTTGTCTGCTTAGTATTTTTCCCTGGGGTGTTTATCTTAACATGTTGAACTGGTTTTGAAAGATGAGTGGAGCTTTATTTGTGGGCTAGGTGTTAGGATTCAGGCATTATGCTGGCCTGCCCCCTGTCACCTAGCAGGATGCACTCAGGCAGTACCCTGGTCAGCCCACGGTTCTATAGTTGCTGTGTCACCACTACATAGTCTGTATGTAAGTGCAAAGGACCCTTTAAAAGAAAAACTCCACCCACTTCTGCTTTCTTTCTCACTGTTTCCCTGGGGCAGACAGGACGTTTCCTGTCTTCCCTTCTGTCCTCTCTGTCTCTGTTTTCTCCCCCCCACTCCCTTTTCTAATCAGACTTCTCACTTAAGCTCTGTCTACCTGGCATGTTTGCCCCTCGACCACCATGGAATCCACCAAGGTACCATACACAATTTTTTTCCTAACACTAGGAACATGGTGGGGACATTCTAGGGGAGCAGAAAATAAAGGCACAGAAATGAGACACCCAAGACTGGAGAGATGGCTTGGGGTTGAGAGCAGGTTGCTCTTCCAGAGGACTGGAGTTTGGTTTCCAACACCCACAGCAGGTGATACCCAACCACCTTTAACTTGAGCTCCAGCTCCAGAGTATACAGTGTCCTCTTCTAGCCTCTCGGTGCACAAGCACAGGCAACACTGTCTAAGGCAGTAAAAATGAAGGGCTCAGCCTGGATTTCTTTTCTAGTTTTCATATTAAAT